AACACTAACCTCTTTTTTTTTCACATGGATGTCTATTTATATTTAGATTATTTTATATGATAATTAAAGATGACCTTAAATTATTTTTTACTCAGTCCTCTCAAAATATGCAACAAATGCAATGGGAAGAGCTTGGCATGGACCTTCACTATAAAATTGCACTAAGAGTTCAGATCAGTTAAACTATATTCCAGCTCTGTCTCCCTTCCTCTGCCAGGTACTGTTTTCAGCTCTAAAATAAGTGACCATAAATGAATTCTACAATGAGAGATCAAGAAAATATTCATAATGTACATATTCCAACACCCAAGTCATTTTTGAGTGAGAATATAGAGAATTTTAGAAAGAGCTATTAAATAAATAGAGTGGGGCCCGGCTGGCATGGCTCAGTGGTTGAACATCAACCTATGAACCAGGAGGTCACAGTTCCATTCCAGGTCAGGGCACATGCCCAGATTTCACGCTCAATCCCAAGTGTGGTGGGTGCAGAAGGCAGCCCATCAATGATTCTCTCTCATCACTGATGTTTCTATGTCTGTCTCCTTCTCCCTTCCTTTCTGAAACTAGTAAAAATATATTTTTAAAAATAGAGTGGAAAAGAAACCTTAATTTTAGGCATAATGTATATTCCTGCTTTATAATTTTGCAAAGATTCTTCTTTTCTTAAGTCTGTATTTGTGTATATTTTAAATGTATTCCCAATTTCTGTTAGATGTGCATTTAGTTATTCAAGATACAATTTAGTGGCATTTCAAAGACCCTTCCAAGGCTTGCACGTGAGAGGGAGGGGACGTCCTCTTAGCAGATACGGTGGGACAGAGGCGCAGTGCCACTTATGCTGTAATATTTTGCTTTGGGCACGTGAGAGGGAGGGGACGTCCTCTTAGCAGACATGGTGGAACGGAGGTGCAGTGCCACTTACGCTGTAATATTTTGCTTTGGCCTCACCTCCCACTAAAAGTGATGACTTTCAAATAACATTGATCCTCTCAATGATATTTGTAAAGTTTGGATACACCTGGAAAATTTTAAACAGAGAAATGGCATAGTTTATAAAAATATTGATAAAGTCCTTTTAATTTAGAGGTAACTGGAAAACATTGTGAATTTACCTTACTATTTGAGGTTAATAACTCTGAAACACATCCAATTAACTACAAATAACAATATCCTGTTTGACATCTTGATTAAGGGTACAGTTTAAACCAAATCATTAGATCTTGGAGGTGGAGACTTTTAAGGCTTCCTCGCTTCTCAGAGGTCTCATATTTACCACATCAACATAAATATCTAGCTTTCATCAAAAATCATAATAAAGTAGCTGTTGGAACTTCATTTATTAAAGCAGGTTGTTAAAGCTATGGCTAAATCACTGAGTTGCAGTATTAAAGACTAACATTTAAATGGAGATGGGCCATGAAGTGTCCTTGGACCTCAAACAGGTCACAGAAGCAGGTACAGTCGACTCACCTCCAAGGACGACTCTCACTGTGCTTCCTCATGATGTGTTCCTGAGATAACCCAATAAGAAGAATTTACGGGTTTCTTTGGTCCTTGGAGATCCTCCCTGGGGGGAAAGGATACAATTTGTTAATTATGCTTAGAGTATTTGAAAACTTCAAACAAAGCCGATGGGATGTCTGCTAATTCTACAGGACATCTTTCTAGTCCCACACAAATACAGTTATGTCAGGTACCTTTCCTGGGTTTCTCTTGGTTATTGTTTCTTTAGGAGAAGCATTTTAGTTTTTTTTGCAAGCCTTAATTGTCTCCTCTAAAAGGAGTGTCTGCTTATGATTTTACCACTGAGGACACAATGGAGAAATGTTTGCACAATGTTTTACATTGTTATCAAATTCATAAGGGAAAATAGATATATGTAGCTATTTTCCCCTTATTTGTGGTGTATTTAACTTATTAAAGAATAATATACATACATATTAATAAATACACACATCATAAATGAATATTTATAAAATTAACACAACTGTGTAGTCAGAATCCAGATTAAGCAGCAATTACAACCACTAAAATAAATAAAATGTTACCAGAACTCAAAAAGAATCCTTCATTCTCCTTT